AATATATACAATCTCAGCCTGTGCTTTCTGTCCGCTGCATCTACGCACACACTGTATCCAAGCACACACTAAACCACACACACACACACACACACACACACACACACACACACACACACACACACACACACACACACACACACACACACACACACACACACACACACACACACACACACACACACACACACACACACACACTTCTTCTGTGTAGCCACATCCCTCATCTTACATTAATTGCTGTGCTGTAAATCAGGTTTATTCGCCTCCATCAGAGGATCAGTGCCCCCTACATCAGCACTCAAACGCTACAAGGCTGCGCACACATTGGACACCAAAGCTAATGAATGACCTTTGAGCTTATTCATTTGGAAGGCGGCTTATCGTATCCTTTTTTTCTCTCGCTAAAGTTATTTCCTTTGTGGTCATTTTGTATTAACCGTGCAAACAGCTGATGGTTGCTGTGAGTCTTCAGAGACTCCGCTTGGCTGTGTGCAGATGGTCAGTTCTGTTATGAGTGAGAGTGACTCATGTATTCACTGAAGCCAAAAAGCACAACTTTACATGACTCGTCCTCGGGATTCGCCTGCCAGCTAGAACTGGAAAGCCTCCAAAGCTGTGTTCATCGCAGTGAATCTCCAGCTCTGCACATGCTGTACCTACCAACTGGCCTCCGGATGCCATGCCCTTCATTTATTATTGTAAGGTGATTTCAGCTTTGTCTGGTAACTGTTAGGATTTATAATTGGAAAAATGCCTTTGAGTTTTAGAGGATGCGTTAAATCATCTCATGTCATATCAGTCTGGGTTGCAAAACTGACATGGATGAATTGTAATTTTTTAAGCATAACATATATTCCTGAGCACATATTGTACAGTATTGTATGTTAACCTCAAACTCCTATAGGTGAACTTAGAGCACCATTATTAAAAAAAAAACTGTCTTTGTTTTGTTTAAGAGCTGAATATTTCGATCAAAAGAACACGATACAAGAATATTTTTGAATTAACACATTGTTCTTCCTTGTGGTACCTGGCAGTTTGATCTGAGATTTGGGTGTTAGAAGCAGCTGTTGTATCCTGAAGCAGAGATGAGAAGCAGGCTACACTTCCTTCCAACTCCACATTCCAAGATTTCTTTGATTTTTAAACTTATAGTCTTCAGCCCCAACCAATACTGACTGAAGTCTTGCCTCATCACTTGTTCAACACAAACTACAGACAATCTATAGAAGCACTTCAAAACACATGTTAACAGACTGCAGCAAGTGCTTTCCTATACTTTTTTGGCCCTGTTTTTGCTCTTGGGCTTCTTACAGACTGCTTTTTCTTATTGGTGGAGGTTCTTGGGGCTGTAGTGAGTCCTGCAGACATCGCTTGGGGCTTAAACAATGTTACGACCTCATGTATTGGGGTAAAAAAAGACCTGTGATCTGTCTCTTATTTATATGAAAGTCTCAAACAAGATGTGTCATGATGTATAATTCCGCTATATGTAAGAGTGACTTATATGTACATGATTGCAGGTGTTAAACATTAGTGCTACCTCGCGCTCATGATGTGTAATCACTGCTGCTGGGCTCCATTTAGCTGTGTCTCAAACACAGCTGGGCACCCTCCCACTGTTCAGCTTCTCACCACTAATATTCCCTTTGATCAGAGCTACTGCTGATAAACTCAGCTTGGATTTCCGTCTCATGTTGTTATTAATGCGCTGCTGCGTATGACCAGTCGACTATGATGATAAAATGCATCAACAAAGTCGAACTCTGATAGATTTATTAGAATATCAGTCAGCGTCATGCACCTTCTATTTGATGGATGTGACAAGTTTGCTCATCTGTCTTTAAGTCAGTTGTTTAAAACTCTAAAACTGCTTGATTATTTTTTATTTTAGCAGGCTACATAGGACAAACGTTCATTTTCATTTAGTGAAATTACAAAATTGGTACCAGTTGTGCACGGTATTAAATTATTATATTAGTATTGCTTAAAGGGTGTCTGCAGTAACATGTTTCTGCCTTTTCTCTGTCCTTTGTGTTCACCTCTTGTTTCTGTTTACTGGTGGGGGGAGGGAAAGGCCAGTTTTGTGATCAGTATTGATCTGTGAAAGCATATGCTCCAGGCCAGATGTGTCTACTGTTACATTTGTAATGGGGGTGTGTGATAAGAACATGTTTTTATCGGCCCATCTTGGCATTATATCAGTGGACAGATGACTCACAAGATATGGTTTGTGTGCCGTTTGTCAGGTTGCAAAACATTGTGAATGACAAGGGCTCCCTGTGGAGCTTTGACTCAGATAGTAAAACTGTATCGTTCATTCTGCAGACCAGTTCAAACAATGATTAGTCAAGCAGGTCACACACAAACACGCAGAGAGGGTCAAGGGCACTGGCAGGAGTGAGCAGAGCAGCGTGAAATTACATGTCATACTAATACTGTAGCAATCATGTCAGTCCACGAAAGCATGCAGTTAACTTCACAGCACGATCAATTACAAATCAGTTCACGTGAGGGCTCTGCTGCTACTGTAACTGTAACTGTTGACTGTGCGTCCAATAAGTCATTCTTCTGAGCAGAGACAACAGTTTCCCTCCATATTTAACAATTTGTTGTAAATATACGTGATTTGAATTTGTGGTAGTTGAGATTATTCCAAAATGTGCCCCATTGGAATGTTAAACCCACCAAACCAATGCTGTATTATAATATATTTAAATTCCTTATTATTGCAGAATATAAATTGGCTGGTGTGACCTTATTAGCTCTCATGTAATGTAACTGTGTGCCTCTTATTGCACACAAATTAAAAAAACATTTAAACATGAGCGGTGTTGTCCGTTTGAGAATGCTGCCCTCATGTGTCTTATTTTAGAAGTGCAGCACCACAAGCCAAACTATAAACCACATTAAGTCATACATCCTGCTTTCCAGACTATATGTGTTCTCTAAATTGTAAAAAAATAATGATTATATCCTTTTTTTTTCATTGCAGGTTATGGACACACTATCAAAACTTTCCCAAACAGCGATTACACAACAAACTGGAATCAGGTATGTTGGAGTGAAATGACCCAAACACAATAAAATGTGCCACAATAATTCAGTATTATATGACACAATCAGGGTGTATAATAATTATATTTGAAGATTGACAGCATGCTCCCTATTTCCCTTCAAAGGCCTTTCCCATCGGAGGAGAGTGTTCAAGATGAGGATATCTACAACCACCTGGAGGACCTTATAGAGTATGTTCCGTCTCCTCTCATATACACACACTACAGGGTGTTGTGGGCGTGGGCATCATTTATTCCCTGGTTGTTGACTGGAAGGCAGCCACCGCCTCCGAGGCTTTGAACATCAGCTCCCCCCACTCTTTTCTCAGTTAACCACAAGTCGTGTGGGCTTCATGTTTTTTATTTAGCCTGTTTTCACACCTTGTTTCCCACCCACTTATGAAAGTGTTGCAGGTTTAAATAACAAATGGTTTCAGTTCTTCAAATACTCTTAAAGCCAGTTTGAGCTTGATCTCAAATTACCTGATGAAATCACTGATATGGTTTGGTTTTTCTACTGAAATGTAAGCTAGGGGTTTTGCACTAAACATGTGTTGATAGCTAACCATTTTCTGATCTGAATTAATTTATAAAAAACAACAAATTATGCATTTTTCAAACTTGAAGAGGGAACAAGGAACACGATCGGCCTACAAAGCCCCTGGTGCATCAATAAAATCTGTATCTAAAATATATTTCTTAGACTGAAACTGTCAGTATGCACACATTATATATATATATATTTTTTCCACGTTTTAATTCCTCAAATGTTTATGTGGTCAAACAGAGTTATCTACTATTGATTAATAAGGGTTGTTATTTGTCTACTGTGTTGGTCTTCAGTCATATGTAACTTCCGAGATCTTAGCAGAAACCATTAACCAATTAGGAAATGGTTTTGGCAGTCGAGCTACTGTAACTTGTGTGAGTCAGTGGAGACAGATAATCTTACAGTGGAAATGCTGTTGGGGAGCCTCACTCTGACACGGAGCTGGTCTATGTTTAGTGCTGACAGCTCCTAGCAGAAAGCAGCCCACTATTAGTGACAGAGGAAAACAGCAGTCTGACAGCAGCCGGCAGTGGATGAGAGGTGGAAGTGGCAGTCTGGATCACACTGAACAGAGCCGTGTTCACCTCTCAACTCCCATCTGCTCAGCGTTCGGCAGCAAATGTACAGAAACATACACATTTATCCAACAGGAGAACTTCAATTCCACCTTTAACAACTTAGAGACAACTGTCTGAACTATAACAACTTGCAAAAATAAGGACCCAGGTTTTAGGCCAGTTATGTGTTTAACAATCACATATTCTTAAAAATCTGTGAATTATCTGACTTCTTGATCTGCCATTGTCTTAATTCACTTTGATGCAACAGCAGGCCAAGGTACCAGATGCTACTTGATCTCTTGAGAAAATCTAATTATTTAGTATATGCATTCATTTGGCCTAAGCTCTGTTAACTTCAAACAGTGGGATGAGCAGGAAGAACATCTAAAATACAGCACTGTGTCAGGTGAAATGAAACTTGTTACACGTATGGAAACAAAAATACAGCATGCTATCTTTGTACCACATACAATACATGCCAAAACAAGGTGTATAAAACAGAGGGGGGATACAGTTATATTTAGATTGACAGAATAGGAAATATAATGCATTTTTTGAAAAATAAAACCCAAAAGTATGAACTGAAAATTGAGCGTGGTATCTCCCCTTGAATCCTCCCCCTCACCTCACCATTCTCATTCTTCACCCTATTATAAAAACACACTTAAAATTGCTTTATATGCCCTGGTTGGAGAGTGGAGACACACACACACACACACACACACACACACACACACACACACACACACACACACACACACACACACACACACACACACACACACACACACACACACACACACACACACACACACACTAAGTCACAGTAATTGGCCTGTTGCGTCACACATAACACTCTTTGCTTGTGAGTGTGTGTCCATGTGTGTTTCTGAACCACTTTCACGCCCTTGGATTAAGTTTTGTCCCTCGCTAACAAGATTTATAAAAAATCAATTTCTGTAAAACCACAACTGTGTGTGTGTTTTAGTTTGAACCTTTAATGTGGCTGTCACAAGGAGTAAAACCATTACCCGCTCACTGTAACCCTCAGGATCAAACAGCTGTGTGATGTAAAGAAATGTCAGTAACATATTCTGTCTTATGCGCTGCAGTGAGAACGGGGTGGAGGATGAGGAGGATTTGTACGACTGTGTGTATGAGGATGAAGATGGAGGAGAGATCTATGAAGATCTGATGAAGACAGAGGCCATCGCTCCCCCGGTTAGTCCTCTTCTCTTTAACTTCAATAACTTCTTTACCATACCTCATTAATACAGACTGACTTTCTTTAGCACATTTAGTCACTATATGCATTAAATAAGCAGTATTACATTTACGTTACTTATTTGCTTTCTTCGCAAGAGATAACAAGTTTGAAACCATTCTCATTTGTGTATGTTAACTTTATGAAGCTATAGAAAGCAACCGGTTAGCTAGCATGACAAATACATCTGGATTTGTTTCGTTTTTGCAGGAAGAAGAAGAAGAAGAAGTCTATTAAGTTGAAATGTTGGGTTTAAGGCAACAATTAAGTTAACTGAGAACTTTTTAGATTTTCTTTTAGCTTATTCAAAAAGGGTGACAGAACAACCAAATGTGAATGGACAGTAACACGCACCCATCTGTGTTAAGCTAAGCTAATTGGCTGCTAGCTGTGGCTAAATTGATCTTGTGTCAAGTGTTTGAAATTGCCTTATAGCTCAATACCAACTTGATCAACATTTTCTTTTTTGTGAAAGTTAAAAAGAAATGAATTTAATTCATTTTTGTACTAAAATTACAAATGCTTTGTTCATAAAATATGATGATACCTCACTTTTATCATATTTGGCGGACAATCGAGCTAGCATGTGCAACTCTGACCTTGCTCAAAGGGTTGCACCGGGTTGCACAGACTACATCTGGTTGAAGACTCAACAGTTTGTCAGCCCACTGTGCTGACACATAGTAACAGTCCTGTGTGTGTGTGTGTGTGTGTGTGTGTGTGTGTGTGTGTGTGTGTGTGTGTGTGTGTGTGTGTGTGTGTGTGTGTGTGTGTTTCCATGTGTGTAGGCGTTCCAGAAGCAAGCAGAGACTGACATCAGGAGCTGCTGTTTGTCAGAGATCAAGCAGACAGAGGAGAAGTACACTGAGACCCTGGAGTCTATAGAGAAGGTACTGACTTACTAAATTGCCTTTTAGTATATTCTTCCCAACGTAGTACGAAATCATATCCATTCTGTTATCCACTGATTTTCCATGAAGACTTGTGATTTTGGGCATATTATAAGTGGGTTCCAACCTTTTCAGGTGTTTGTGTGTGACCATTTCTGTGAGTTGAGAGACGTTTAAGTAGAGTTTTTTATTCCAGATGTATTATTTCAATGAATCCGAGGTTTGAAGGAGCACAATATGCAGAAATTGTTTGGTTGAAAAAAGTTATAAATTGTAAATTATAATTGTTAATTCCCTTAGATTTAGCATCTACACCTGGAAAACACCTGGCCTAGTTTGACCAATTCGGTACATTTATATGTAAACTGTGACTGTGGTGTATTTAGAAGTGTAAAGTATAAGAGTGACAAGTCTCTGTGAGCCCACACTCAACTACACTGGCTCAAAAATAAAAGTTAACTTGGATTTCCTTGCACTGAAAGGATGACAGAAGCACTAGAATTCAATTTGGCCTTCTTATCTCTTTCCGTCTGAGAACTGTGAAACTCACTGACTGTAATTTGAGGTATAATGGAAAAAATAATGACTAGTGTAACAAATCTGTAATCCCAGAGAGAAGAAAGGGAAACAATATATTTCTATTTGTGAAATTAGGAGCGGGTAATGAGTATTTCCAGCGCTGCTTTAAACCAAACTATGAGAAAAGCTCTTTTGTCGTGGATGTTTTCCACCTGACGCTGCACTTTTAGAGGACTGTGGGAGGCCCGCCGTCTCTCGCCCCTCAGCCACAGCTACTTGTCTTCTACCTCTTGTGTACGTTCACGTCTGGAAAAAGCCTTGCCTGCTCTCCCAGAGGAATACTCAGTAGATGACTTTCAATATGAAGTGGCTGGTGGAGTTTGTGCTCGCACGCTCCTTTGAGATGTAGAGGTGACTATTCGGCGGGAGTAGTCTGAGAGGAAATCATTAAATTGCAAACTCTGAAAATGAGATTATTGTCGTGACCCAGACAGTCCTGCTTGTTTTTGCTGACTGCCGCAACTTGGCCCCATAATGTAATAGCTTCTCGCAAAATGACTTTCCCACTCCCCAGTCTAGAGGGGACGAGCCTCATTCTCTTATGTTCTCTCTCCCTCTGCTGCAGCACTTTATGACACCCCTCACAATGTTCCTATCCATGGTCGAGATGGAAAAGGTGTTTGTGAATATCCCGGTAAGTCTTTAAAGTGTAATGATCCCACTGGGTGGTCAACTAAAGGACACACAATTCTTTATTGAAGGGCTATATCACAGTAGGACAAATAGAGGCTTGAAAACAACATTAAGGAATTTCACTGTTGATTTGTTCATGGCATTTTATTTCTAAAAAACACCACTAAATGTCTGATAAGCTTTAATATTCTCTACTAATATACTATTACATTTGTAACATGATTAAGAGTCTGCAGACATGCTAACAGCTCTGTGAGGAAATGCTTAATTAAATTGAATTTGTAGAATATAGCCCTTAATGTAAGTAACTGATATGTCATGCAGATCACTGTTTTTGGTTTCAGGACCTGGTTAAAGTTCACAAAGGTTTACTGGTGGAAATCCAAGACTCAGTCCACCACAGAAGTGCCCAGAACCTCCACCAGATCTTCATCACTTTTAAAGAGAGGTACACTATGGACTTTGTAACCATAATCCATTTACATTTCTGTAATACTCTTAGAATAAATGATGCATCTGTGAGTCATTATATACAGTCCTTGACTCCAAGTCGCCTCACTACATGTGTTTAACCTGTTCTAGGCTGTTGATCTATGGGAAATACTGCAGCCACGTGGAAACAGCCATCATTTGTCTGGATGACATCTGCAAAGAAAGGGAGGACGTACGCATGAAGCTAGAGGTAAAACGTCTTTACTGTCAGTAAATGGTTATTTAGGGCCACATTTTGACAAGTGTTCATCATGTCACAATAGTCAGATAATGCCCTCAAGTGTTCACCTGAGGCACTGCGGGTGATTTATGACCGCATAAAAACTGTTCTATCATTTCAACTCTTTTCTTTATGGAGAGTCCCATTCTAATTCTGAGGTTACACACGCTATGCACTGTCATGGGCTTTTCTTTTCTTTATAGGATGTTTAATTTGTAAGATTTGCTTTCTTTGTTGTGTTCCTACAGGAGTGTTCAAAGAGAGCTAACTACGGCAAGTTCACACTGAGGGATCTGCTTGTGGTTCCTATGCAGCGAGTCTTAAAGTATCACCTCCTCCTGCAGGTATAGTACTTCAACATTTCCTCTGTACTATTTATACTTTAATCATAAAGTGATATGAATATGCTATAAAGCCGTAGCCTTTAGTGTTTGAAACAAGGTAGCTCTCTTTCTCTCTCTTTTTCTGCACAAACCTTTGAAACCATACTAATCTATGAATACTGAGCCTTACTTATAATAACATAACTTAGTGTGATTTAAAGAATAATGAAATCAAAGCACACAATATGACTTTTATGTCTGTGGACCATAACAAGTGTTATTTAAAAAAACAAAATTGAATTGTATATATGTTCTGCTATTCATAGGCATAGACTTCCAAACTAAAAAGTAGACTTTTGTTTTTACATTGTTATTTCAAATATAAATATGTGCTAATATCACTCTAATTATGTACTATTTATTCCTCAATAACATATGAAAACATTTATATAAAAAATGCTTTCCTCCCAAAATGTACTGAAGAGACATTTGTATGACCTTTTACTTATTAACAATTTGTTTTACCTCCACCTCTGTGTATACATCCATATCATGTCAATCACTGTCTTTGTGATCAAAGCTGGACCGAAAGTTAAAGTTAAAAATCTTCACTGGCTTTACAGATGGCTGTCAGTGAGTGACACAGCCCCATTAGGGAGATGTTATTCATCAAAGCCTCATCCATTCCTAATCAGGCTTCATGAGCAACTGGACTTTGTGCCACTGGGTGGAGCTGTTGCCCATGTTTGGATCCCTCCCGCTCCCTTCGTCCTTCAGGCTCCTCTCGTCTGTCTCTGGCTTCTTTATTACTCTCAGTCTGAAATGACACGCACATAATTGTCATCTGAGAATCGAGAAGCAGGAGAGAGAAAATAGATATAGTGAGGACTGAAAGTGAGAACAGCAGACAGAACAAGACAAACAACTGAAGAAAGACAGATGCAGAGGTGAAGTGGTGTTGAAGTGGTGAGAGTCTGAATGTGAAGCTAAAATACATTAGTGGAGACTCCGGAGAAAGTCAGGAAAAAGTTTCTAACAAGTAACAAAAAAAAGAACATTTTAAAAGATCTAAAATGTCTGAGGACTTTTCTTCCATGATACATTTTGACTACGTTAAATATTCTTTAGTGGTTTTTATTATTGTTTTAAATCATGATATGCATCTTTAACATAGCCCAGTTTAAAGTTACATTTACTCGGAGTAAATAGTGTGTATTTGTCACATGTGTGTGTGAGCACGGCCGATTCCTATAATTTAATGATAAAAAATAAATTTTCATTATGTGGGTTCAAAAATGTCAATGAGTTTTCATTAGTAGCTACCTTTTGCAATTAGGTATTCAGTTGTTTACTACATAAAAAAGTATTTCTAAGATTTATTTTCACATGCAAGTTTGGTTTGCGCTATATCTTTTAACATTTAGCATTACCTATAATAACAGCAAATCTGCCATGTCCACACTGAAATTAATCGAGAATAATCAAATACACCAATTTATGCTTTTAAATGGATCATATTCTATTTGTCCTGTTTAGTCAGAGATGGTTCCCTCAGGGGCTTTTAAATAAAAAGCCTTAAATCAGACACCCTGAAACCTTGTGATGTGTCATGTTTGCATGTCCCATCAAAAGGAAAAAACCCTGTAGCAACACAGTAACAGCGTGTGTGCCGGGTTCCCTGCTGAACAGCGGGGTAACAGCCAGCGACATGAAAACCTCCGCTGGTTACTCTCCCACACGGTGACAGCCAGAATCTGAACAACACATGTCTCGCTCACCAAATGTCTCGCTCACCAGTTCTTTTCTCTTTCTTTCTCACTGCATCCGCTCATCATTTCTCTTCCCCCCTGAACACGATTCCCTCAATGACTCCATCATGTTTGGTCCCGGCTATCAGTGGGACCACTCCCTTCCCCCTATCTCTGAGGATGTGTGGAGGTGGGAGCAGGGCTTGATAAATAGGACTCTGTCGCCTTGCTAGTGATAATAATGCCCAGGTTGAGCTTGACTGACACCAGGGATTTGAGCAGTAGCGAGCAGACACATATCTCCCTTAGCGGCTCAGTGTGTGTGTGTGTGTGTGTGTGTGTGTGTGTGTGTGTGTGTGTGTGTGTGTGTGTGTGTGTGTGTGTGTGTAGATGCAGTTTGTATGGGCCTGTATGAAGGACATGCATGGCATCCTTCCTTATCCTCCACTGCTGAGGTCTAGATGTCTTGTTTACGCTGCAGTCAGGCACTGGCAAGCAATTTCAGATAGACACTTGCCCACACACACCTGGAACAGACGAGTGCACACACACACACAATATCTGATTTATTTCAGGACAGGATTCTTCTGGCAGTAATCCTTTTCATTTCTTATTTCTAAGATTATTTTTTCGGCATTTTCGCCATTATTTGACTGAGAAATGGGGAGAGGAATAGAGACAACAAAGGTCCCAAGGCCAGAATCGAACCCTGGATGAGGCGCTGTAGCTATTCGGCTACCAATGTCCTTCAATACTTTTCTTAATCGCATCTAGAGCTGAAGCTTTAGGTTCTCATGTTTTTCTATGATTTACAACCTAGCTTTCTTCCTTTCATTTCCAACTTTGAGTGTATAATCAAACATTAGTTGTTATTGTTTTTAATCAGTTTTACAATACAAAGTTAAATAGTTCTCATCATTTAAAACTTGCTTAACTAAATGTGTTTATTGATTTGTTTCTGTCCAATAGGAGCTGATGAAACACACTCATGATTCCTCCGACAAGACCAATCTGCGCACGGCATTGGATGCTATGAAGGTACAACATCAGCTTGATCCTAGTGTTTTACTTACACATACTCTTATCCCACGAGGCATAACTTGTACATGTACAAACATAAGTAACAGTAACCCCTTAAAAACAAACCAGTTAGATTTCCTAATTCATGTTGTATTCCCCTAAACGCCTTAGGATTGTCTGGGTTAGGCGTCCTGTTATGTATAGATTTGATTGAAATGTTGCTTTTGATGAGAGGAATATTTGTTTATAGGCCTTGGAAGGTTTCTGTCTCTTTAGGATTGTTGTTTGACTTCCTGTTCCTGTTTGTCCTTAAAAACAATGACCATCATTAATATTTGGGTTAAATAATATTTTCCCTCTTGACATGTCATCTCAGCTCGCTATAAAAGCTTGCGTAACAACAAAACAAAATAACCTTATTACAGTATGTCCGAGAAATAATCTACAAGATACTGCAGTTCATTGAACCTCCTTACGTAAAGAAACGAGTATACCAAGTGAAGCAAGTCCTGCTCTTTTTTTTTCACGTAATGGGGAAAATTGTGAAAGGAAAAAGGAAAGACTTTTGAATGATTACTTGTCTACAGGACTTGGCTCAGTACGTCAACGAAGTCAAGCGAGACAATGAGACACTGCGAGAAATAGATCAGTATCAGAAATCCATCGAAAACCTGGTAAGCCACCTGTTCCTTCCAAATAATGAAATGCTGATCTAATTTTCTCTGAGCTTTTCATTGGAAATTGCCTTCCCCATCCATTTGTCTCTCTTTCCGTAGAATCAGACTTTGAGTAACTATGGGAGACCCAAAGGTGACGGGGAGGTACGGGTGGCCTCGGTGGACAAACGAGCCAAACAGGACAGGTGAGATGTGAGGGTGACATGCTGGTTGACTGAAACGCTGACTGACTGACTGCAGCTTAACCAGATCAGGTGCTGTGTTTGGAAAACTGCCAGAGTATGTATTGCAAAGTTTAAAAACAAAGTCCTTTTAGAAACAAAATCCAGTAAGTGAACATCAAGGTTATATAGTTACAGTACAACCACGCAGAGTTCCAGACAAATAGGCGTATAAGGTGTAATACATGTGTTTTGGGGGGTTTCACTTTCCTGGTTTCACTTTCCTGGTTCCCAACCTTTTTTCCCAAGAGCCCCCCCAAATGACTCCTGTTGGAAGT